GGGACTTAAAAGAAGGTGGTGGCAGCAAGTGGCACATCCTGCTTGAAAGTGGATTTGAAGAAAGCAGAGGATGTCAATGACAATCTCACATCTCATTTAGCTTGTTTCTGAAGTCTACCAATGAAGACGATGTGTCAGACAATGAGAAGCCATTTCACGTAATCTCCACTTTCAGCTTTTAGACACTCTCTGGTCAAGACTTATGAGGTTGACAAAATGCAAAACCAGAAAATGCAAAGCTGTATGAAAGCAATAGAAAGCCTTGATATTTATAAAACAAATTTATTTCAATAAATAAATATTTATAAAGTAACTTTCTAAAAGTTTCAAAGGACTGTTATCATACCAAGTATATTCTATGTATATACATACTGAAAATAACAAAAGAACAATCTCCAAATGTTTGAAAATTAAGGACTACATTTCTAAATAGGCCACAGCACAAAGTAGACTGCAGGTAGAAATCAGAAAACTTTTTGGACAGAAAAATAATTTAGAAATTTATGTCATGTTAAAAATTGAGAGACACAGCTAAAGCAGTAGGAAGAGGAAATATTGTAGCTATGCTATAGGCATGAAGTAAAAGATTCGGTATTGTGAATGCCAATTTTCACCAAGTTTGTCTACAGAGTCAGTGTAAGTCTAACACTATTTTATAAGTTTTATGATAAGATGATTCCAAAATTTGTTTCAAAACCTGAAGGTCCAAGAATAATTAAGGCAGTTCTAAAAGTGAAAAACAAAGATGAAAGTTACACCATCTGTAACACATAAAGGCAAGGTAAACAGTATGACATGTGTCCTAGGATAAACAAGTAGACTAAGAAAACACAGTGAAGAATTCAAAGGCAGAACTAAAACATAGTCACCTAATTTTTAACAATGATGCCTCTAACATGCAGTGAAGAAAGTTTTAACAATAAATGACTCTTCATATGTATAAAATTAACCTTTACTGCTACTTCACACCATAAGTAAAAATAAATTCCAAACTCAACACAGACTTAAACCTGAACAGCAAAATAATACAGTATCTAGAACAGAACAAGCAAGAAAATCTCCATGACTGTGTAATGATAAATAGTTTTTATACAGGATGCAGAAATCATCAACAACAAAGGAGTAATTAATAAATCAGTTTTCATTATTTTCATTAAAATGAACAATTTCCATTTATGTAAAGACATCAGCAGAAGAGTGAAAAAACAAGCCTCAAATGGATGCAGGTATTGAAATACATACATCCAACGAAGGATTCAAATCTAGCCTAATAATAAAAATGGGCCAACAAAAGCAAAAACAAACAACAACAACACTGGGCAAAATACTTGCACAGGCATCTTCTCAAAGAGAATACAGAAATGGTCAATAAACATCTGAGAAGATGCTTAGTAGGATTAGCCATCAGAGAAATGAAAATTAAAGACACAACATGATACATAACCACCAGAATGGCTAAAATCAAAAGAACAAAGAATGCCAAATTTTGCAAGGATGTGGAGCAAACAGAACATTAACATATTGCTTGTGAGAGTGTTAGCTGGTACAACCACTTAGAAAACTGATTGGCAATATCTATTGAAATGGAACATATATATAGCCTATTATATCAGCAATCTCAGTGTGTGTAGGCATCTGAAAGACATGTACAAGAATGCTCATAGAAGCATTATAGAGGCCAAACTAGGAAAAACTAGGAAACCCCAAACTAGGAAAAACTCAAACATCTGTTATCAGTAGAACTGATCCATTGCATTATATTCATACAATGGAGTAAAACAAACCCCTGCTATATCCAACATGTATTGGTCTTATAAACATAAAACTGAGATAAGGAATCCGGACATAGAATTCTGTGATTCTATTTATATAAAGTTCAAAGAAAGATAAAGGTTATCTATGGTAGTGGTCAAAATAGGGGTTCCCTCTGCAGAGTGCATTGGTGGCAAAGGGCATTGAGAAGGCTTTCTGAGTTGCTTGCAGTGTTCTACATCTTGATCTGTGAAGGTGTTATGCGGATGTGTTTACTCTGTAAAATTCACTGAGCTGTACTTTTAATACTTGTGCCTTTTATTGCATGTATGATCTTCCTCAGGCATCCTCACACCTGCATGCAATTTAGGTGAGCATGTAAGTTGCTAATAACCACGTGGTGGAAGATCTCTTTGGTAGCTGTGTGGAAGATCAGATGGTGAAAGAGGAAAGGTGACAAAGGCTTGAGCAAAGAATTAACGGACCTGAAATAGGGCAGGCAGGGGAGGAGGAAACGTGATATCTAGAAGAAAGACTGAAGGGGCAGATTCTATAGACTGTGGCTCATTAGATGTGATGAATGACAGTGTGTTCAGTTTCCAACACGAGTGACTGAGCAGATGGAAATGTAGGTATAGAGAGAGATGCTGCATTGGTGCAGGAAGGGAAAGCAAGTACGTGACCTAAGACGACATGTTGCATTTGAGGTGTTTATGAGGGATACAAGTAGAGATGGTTAGGAAGTGAAATTAGGAAACCTGACTACAAAACCCATTTTGAATTTACAGGGACGCTTGTGTAAAATTAAATCCCTCCCTGGGTGCAAAGACTTCCTGACTAGGTTTCAAAAGCATCTCACCTCCAAGCCACAGTTGGAGACTTTGGAGTGATGGTTTATCTTTCCAACTTCTGAGTCAAGGAGGGGAGAGGCCAAGCGTGGGACGCAAAAGGAACAGGAATGACCGCACACCATCCATCAGTGAGGGGATCTGGGGCCTCAGGCCAGCTGCCTGACTTCTCCAGCCTGCCTGGCCCTTTCTGGGCCTATGTAAACCTGCACTATAAATCTTTGCCATTTGCTGGGAAGCCCTACTTTTATTCCTTTTCACAGTATATTTGATGAGTTTCTGTATTCAGTAACTCTTGCAGCTGAAATTGTTCATGGCTTATTTTATATTTACCTATTTTTTATGGGATATTACTGGACAAAACTTCCTAGAATTTTGCTAAAAGACTAGAATTCCGCTCTTAAAAAAAAAAAGATAACTGTTAAGCAAGATATTCAATCGTGGAATTAAAATAATCTCAAAAAAATTATTTCTAAAATGCACTATTATTTAACATCTCTAACACAAGATGAGAAGAGAGAAATACAATAATGGTATTCTGAGGATTTATACATGTTCTGTATACCCTACATGTCATGTGCATCACTAAAAGCCAGATGGGCCAACAATCGCTACCTAGAAAACAGCTATGAGAAATTAGAGTCCTGTGTATTGCTCTACTACTATGAAGGAAAATCATTTGCTTTTGTATTTTGGTCAGACTTCTCATATATCAACAGAACCTAAGTAGCAGTAGTATCTACATATGCTTGGAAATTCAAACACTCATTTTCTGTGAGATGCAATTACTATAATGAGATTTTAATTTATAATTCACAATAGAAATGTAAACCAGGCCTTTATTCGTACATTTGTCAATAGCTATTTGCTGTTTACAACACTAAATACTCAGCAACACCTAACAAAATCTGTTATGCTTCCTAACATCCCCAAGCTTTAACTTTCAGTTGAGTTGACAAGATTTAGCATCAGCTATTGCAAGAAAGAGAGCTGCAGATGTATAGTCAAGAAGTAATAGAACTCTTAGGCTCCCTCCTTCTCCTCCTAAATCATCAGCTTTTTATCCTGTCTGGATAATCAAACCCTAGGAGATGCCAGTAAATTCCATAAGGAGAATCATCTGCAAATACAGGACCCTCAGTTAACCAAAAGTAATCAATTCCTAAAAATCCGAAGTGTTGTCTAACAAATTATCAGATAGGGAAAACCCAATTTCACATTTCTTTTTTTAAAAAATAGGAAAAGTAAGAATACATTTCTAACCCACATTGATTATATCTGTCAATCCACTGAACTAGGCACTTTCAAAGACATTCTGCTGCACCCAAGTAGCATAGCGTCACTTTTCAAACACATGAATACCTCGTGTTTTATCTTCCTGTGCATAGAAAACATGTTTATGTTTGATAGATATATGTGCAGGGCCAAGTTTATGTCTTTCATATGTTTATGACTTTCAATATGCTTTATCACTTTCAATTCTTCTTCAGGAGGAAAGGCCACTGGGCTCACTTATTTGATCCCTATTCTGTTCCATTTTTAGAAGGTATTGTCACTTAAAAATGTGGGGAAGATGACAAGCAAAAAAATGCACAATATGTTTAAACAGCACAAACATGAGAGGTAATGCCATCAGGTGGGACATGAATGACTCACTGAGGTCAGTGCTCTGTCCTCTGTCAGGGACACCTGGCAGCTTGAACACATTCACTGGCTCAAACATGCCTTTTCTTTTAGAGGCTTACAGTTCAGCAGTTTGGATAATAAATTCCAGGTAACAATTTTTACAAATCGGTAAAAGCTGTTTGGACATGAGAGCTCAATTCAGTTACAGAAGATTACAGGAAAATAAGCAAAGTTATTTTGGAATTATTTTTAGACTTCATGAGATTGTGAGAAAAATTGCACAGTGGCTATATAAATGCTGTTCTCCTGTGGAATTGTCTTAAAAGTCATGAATCAGGCAATGATTCATAGACTTCAGGACCTGACTATATTATTTTTTAAATATATAGCACCAAAAGGATTTTCATTTGGCAGGCAAGAGAAAAGTAGAAATCCAGTGTCTATTCTGATGAAAAGTGGTTATTCTCTGTAATCACACCATTGAAGTGTGCAGAAAGGGAAAGATTCTTCTTTCTAGTTAATCATCATTTATTGGCTAGTAGATTATTTTGCTTACACTAATATGCAACAGTATTTTTAAAATTCCAATATATTGATTAGTTATTTCCTCCACTTAAAAACTTTAATTGAGCTATTTTTTAAAGGAGATGTAAATGTACTATGTATTAAGTGAAATGTACTAGTTATAAAGAAATTATATATTATTTTAAGTGAAATTAAAGGTATCTTAACAGAACACCCAGTGGTAGAGTAGCATATCAACCTTGGCCTTACCCTTTAATTTCAAGGCTTCTAATACCTTTGAATCAGCTGTCACATCACTCACTAGCTTGATTTCAATATTTTGTGAAGTCAGTTGGAGCAACTTTTCAAAAAGACGTTGACCCTGGAAAAAATATTCAGAAACAAAGAAAGTCAGAAAACCTAAATGTTTACCAATTTAGACAGGTAAAAATAAACTCATTAAAATTAATCTATTCATTCAAATATTAAAAGGTAAGCATTTCAATAATTGATATTCACAGATTTGTGAAATTCTTTCAAAAGAGTTTATATCAATATAGTAGCATGAACACAGACTGCACTGTTTTTTTGAGTATTGTGCAATTAAACAATTATTGCAATAATAATTCCAGTGCTACAATGCAAATCTACCCTTTTTCTGCTTTTTGAGTCTGTATTATCTACACATGAAGTAGCAAAGAAGATTAAGCGGTTGTGTTTTGGCCCAGAGAGACCTGGATTCCAGCTGGTTTTCCAATTTACAAGCTGCTTCTTAATCTCACTAATCTCCAGTTTCTTCCTCTGCAAAATGCAGATAATATTAATATTTACTTCAAAAGGTTTTTGTGAGATTAAAGGAATTAATAGTAAGTAAACATTCTTTAAGCATTAGCTGTTATGAGGGAAATTATGGTTAATAATTAATGGTTTACCTGAATTCATGTTGTTTAAATGTATTTTAATGAATTCAACTAATGTTCTGCCTAAAAATAACTGAAATAAAAAACAAACTAAAAAATAAAAGTTTTCCAGCCAGGCATGGGGTTCACGCCTGTAATCCTAGCACTTTGGGAGGCTGGGATGGGTGGATCACGTGAAGTCAAAAGTCTGAGACCAGTCCAGTCTGGCCAGCCTGGTGAATCCCTGTCTCTACTAAAAATATAAAAATTAGCTGGGCATGGTGGTGTGCACTTGTAGTCCCAGCTACTCGGGAGGCTGAGGGGGGAGAATTGCTTGAACCTGGGAGGCAGAGGTTACAGGGAGCCAAGATTGCACCAGAGCACTCCTGCCTGGGCAACAGAGTGAGACTCCATCTCAACAAACAAACAAACAGATAAATAAATAAAAGTTTTCTTTATAAGATTTTCAAAAGCATGTAATTTTTAGAATAAGTTTCAATCTCAGGCAGGCTGAGTAACAGCAGGTCCACAGACACTGCATTGTCTCAGGTCACTGTATTGTACCATTATCCTGTGTATCATCCTTTGTATGTTTTAATAGACCCTCATCTCCTTATCATAAAATAAAAATGGATTCTTTGCATTGATTTTTTAGTTTTTCTGCTCTTGGGTCACAAACTCAAACGCCTTCAGGAGCTAAGCAGAGAATAGGGCTTTGGTCTTAATGGCCCCAAAGTGGCAAGTTCTTATCTTACTGTGGTAAGAATGGACTGTGGATAATGATATGGAATGGGTTTGGTGACTGGGAAGAGAGAATGGCAGAAATGTGGAGGCAGAGCGGTGATTCCTGCAATCCAGCCTTAGAAAAGGGAGAAGCTGGCTGGGCGTAGTGGCTCACGCCTGTAATCCCAGAACTTTGGGAGGCTGAGACAGGCAGATCACTTGGGGTCAGGAGTTTGAGACCAGCCTGGTCGACATGGTGAAACCCCATCTCTACTAAAAATACAAAAATTAGCTGGGGATGGTGGTGGGCACCTGTAATCCCAGCTACTCAGGAGGCTGAGGCAGGAGAATCGCTGGAACTCAGGAGGCAGAGGTTACAGTGAGCCGAGTTCACGCCACCGCACTACATCCTGGGGACAGAGTGAGGCTCCATCTCAAAAAAAAAAAAAGAAAGAAAGAAAGAAAGAAAAGAGAGACGCTGAAGATGAAGACCCTGAAGCTTTGGGGTGTTAGGAGGAAGCAGGTGTGCCCGTGCTGCAGTGACTGCTGACAGCAGGCAGGAGTATTTGGCACAGGAGCTGGCTGGCATAGTCATTGGTCTATAACCTTAGGGTGCTGGAGGGTACAGTGGAAGTTTTTTTAGAAATAAAAGTTGCTCAAAGTAGAGTGCCTCAAAAGCGATCATATTACTCTGTAGTCCAAAAGTCTGGAGGAAGCCTCACCACAAACCAGGTATTCTGGCATGATACGTTGAGTGCATCAGACAGTTACTGACTCCTTATTTGAAAAAGAGGCAGAGGCCAAGCTCATCCTTGTAATCCCAGTGCTTTGGGAGGCCAAGGTGGAAGAATCGCTTGAGTCCAGGAGTTTGAGACCAGCTTGGGCAATATAGGGAGACCCTGTCTCTACAAAAAGGTGAAAAAAACAACAGCCAGGCCTGATGGTGCATGCCTGTGGTCCCTGCTGCTCAGGACGATGAGGCTGTCTTGAGCCTGGGAGTCTGAGGATGCAGTAAGCCATGATTGTGCCACTGCACTCCAGCCTGAGGGACACAGCTAGACCCTGCCTCCAAAAATTAAAAAAGAAAAAAGAGGCAGGAGGGGAGAGGGAGGGTGAGAGAAAGAGACAGAGAAGGACAGGAAAGAGAAAAAAATAGGGGCTGATTTCAGTGTCTATGTAAACTTTAAATTTACTGTGTAGAGGTATGGGCTTGGACGGTGAGAGGCTCAGGTACATGATAGGAGGAAAAATCCACATCAAGCGGCTTTGTGTTTCTTCTGCAGGCAGAGTTAACACCAACAATGCTTCCCTGTCAGCTCTGGCACTTCTCCAAGGAGTCCACTCTACTCTTACCCCATTGAAGGTTTGGTGATGTCTGCATGGCCCAGATTTCTAGAACCTAGACTCGTGGTCATCACATGGTCATGTAAGTTGTTTGCATTTTTCCCTTTCATACAAACAAACACTCTGTGTGTTTTGTGAGGCCCCATGGTCAGTGGGATGGTATTTTTTTCGCGAATTCATTTATTTTTCCTCTTAGTTAACAGAATATATTTGGCACCAATGAAGCATTCAAGAGATCATCTAACTTATCTGTATTTCTGGCTCTGCGCCTTAAATTGATCTTCACTGAGTTATTTTTGTGGGACTTAAAGACAACCAGAACTCTCACACATGAATGAAAATAGAAATTCCAAAATCCACAGATACTGGCAGACTGTCATTAAATAAAGCTTATTTTTACTTTTAGTATGTGCTGATTACTTACACCAAGGAATCCTACAATTTTTAATTATAGTGCTCACTGTAGTGATCTTGGGCTTGGGTAGAATTTCTATACTTAGGCTTGAGGTAGAATTTCTATTAAATCTCTCCTCTTCAACATGCTAACTCCCCAGCCAGTAATTTTACATGTTTTGTGAGTACAAAACAAATCTTAGCTACTTGGAAATTTAAGACTCACTCTTAGATTATCCTTACACCAAAGAAGAAAAGTAAATGTATGCCTTCTCTAGAAAGCTATGAATATGGAGGTACGTCAGAGCAAAACCGTGAAAGGAGCCAATATCAGGTGTGGAAGAGAAACTTATAACTATAAACACCTTCAGTATTATATTAAAAATACTGTAACATTATATTCATCATATTAATATGGTGGAGGCATAGGAATGTATAAATATATAAGGGAAATTAATAAATAATCCAGAAATGGTGTGCACAATGTTTTTTTTTTTTTTTTTTAATTTTTACTTTAAGTTCTGGGATACGTGTGCCATGGTGGTTTGCTGCACCTATCAACCTGTCATCTAGCTTTTAAGCCCCACATGCTTTAGGCATTTGCCCCAATGCTCTCCCTCCCCTTGCCCCCATCCCACAACAAGGCCCTAGTATGTGATGTTCCCCTCCCTGTGTCCTGTGTTCTCATTGTTCAACTCCCACTAATGAGTGAGAACATGTGGTGTTTGGTTTTCTGTTCTTGTGTTAGTTTGATGCAATGATGGTTTCCAGCTTCATGCATGTCCCTGCAAAGGACATGAACTCATTCTTTTTTATGGCTGCATAGTATTCCATGGTGTATATGTGCCACATTTTCTTTGTCCAGTCTATCATTGATGGGTATTTAGGTTGGTTCCATTTGTGAACAGACGCAAGATTTTTATCAATAAAAAGATACTATTTTAATTCAGTTTGGAAAAGTTAAAAAGGTTTAATCTGGCACATATAAAGGGACCCCTATATTATATTACAAATAAAAATGTGTTCCCAGTCAGAACTAGTACACACTAATACTTTCAAAAAAAAAATCTAGGCAATTACATGTACTGTCTTGGGATGGGGAAACCTTAATCAAGCTGTTATCAGGCTAAATAATAGCTCCCCAAAGATCGTGGGTCTGAATCTCCAGAATCTGTCAAGGTTTCCTTATTTGGAAATAGGGTCTTTGCAGATATTATTAAATTAAGGCTCTTATGATGGGGGATTATCTTTGATTATCTGAGGATAATCCTAAATGCAATCACAAGTATACTTATAAGAGACGGGCAGAAGGGATTTGACACAAGTGGAGGAAAAGGCACTGTGACAATGGGGCAGGAAGAGGTCGGAAGATGCTGGCCCCAAAGGCTGGAAGGTGCGGCAGCAAGCCAAGGGATGCCGGAGGCCACCAGAAGCTGGGAGAGAGAAGGAATGCTGGGAGAGAGAAGGAATGCTGGGAGAGACAAGGAATGCTGGGAGAGACAAGGAATGCTGGGAGAGACAAGGAATGCTGGCAGGTTCTAGAGCCGCTGGAGGGAGCATCACCCTATGTCGTCTTGGTTTTGATCCAGAAAAACTGATTTCAGACTTCCTACCTCCAGGACTGTAAGAAAATAAATTTCTGTTTCTTACACCAAGAAGCCTATAGTCATTTGTTACAGGAGCCACAGGAAATGAATATAAAAGCTAGCTATGCAAAAGTAATAAAAGAGAATATAGACATAGAATTATAAAATTTTTAAATAAATTATACTGCAAAAGATACTACAAAGTTAATGAAAAAAGCAAATTTGGAATAAATATTTGCCATGCAAATGAAAGATGAAGAGAGAATAGCTGTACTCTACAAAAATGTATTAACAGTTTGCCAGGTGTAGTGCTCACACCTCTAACCCCAGTGCTTTGGAAGGCCATGTGGGAGGATCACTTGAGGCCAGGAGTTTGAGGCCAGCCTGGACAACATAGTGGGACTCTGTTTCTATCAAAGAAAAATAATAAAAGGCCC